AAACATAAGTAGTGGCACTGCCTGGATTGATGAACTACCGAGTCTGATTTTCTGTTTAGCGCTGTTTTCAAGCATCATCTCTGCCATATTTATAATCTCCAAGACTAGGAATTCTCTTATAGCTGCCATCATAGTTCTAAAAATAACCAGCATTCTAAGAGTATTTCATAAGCAATACTAGTCCCCTACCGACAAGTATAATCTGAATGCCCTTAAAAATGACAAGGTGGTTATTCAATCAAAAATCATCATAGCAAAAACAAAATGCTAACTTGGTCTGAAACCCCAGAAAGTAGAATCACACACTATATATCACCTTAATATCTGCTTGCAAGTTTAAAAAAAAGTGTGGAAAACCAAGCAGAACAGACTGAGAGACAGAATGGGGGATGGGAGGGAACCTATAGTCCCCTCCAGTTTCACTGACTAGGGGACTAATAAATGCAATCACTCCTTGCTATTTCTGTTTTTGATTTTTTTTTAAATGATAGTAATTTCCTTCACAGATGCAAATTTAATACATCCCAAGCTGTATTGCCCACTGGGGTTACTTACTAATATTGAAATCACTCACACCAACCTTTTTGGGAATTCCTAGATTTGTCTGCATACCTGGTATGATTATAGGTTCAAATAAGATTTTTCTACTCATGCACAAAGAAAAATTGTGTAATTTTTGGACAATAGGTCGATCGATGCTTTTTCCTGAAGCACCTGGTCCTACCCTACTTGCAGTTTGACCATTCAAAGGCTGAAGTTTGGAATTTTACAATTTTTTTTTTAAAACTCTGTAAACATCTATTCAGAATACTGCTACATTCAATTTGTATCAGATTTATTATATATTATTAGTTAAAAAAAAGATACAGTAGACAGGAAAAATAATCTTATAAAGTACATGTATTTTTGAGCAGCAAATTTATGTACTTTTAAAAAAACTTTAGTGTACCTTCATACTAAAATAGGAAACATCATGTATGCTACAATTAACGATGTCCATGGGCCACAATGCTCACATGAGTGACCAAGGCCCTGCTGTTTTGAAGATTTAAAAAATTGTTTGCCTCTTTATTATTCCCCGGTGAAATTGGATTTCTTATGCAAAGTGCTTATGCAACACTATATCTCTGAATGCTTGTTTCCATTACCAATTAGCCCCAAGGAATTATGATTAAAATGAACTTGAACCCACATAACATGGGGATGCTTTGATATTAAAATCACTAAAATGGCCTTCCTGTTCTGAAGAGAAGAATTTTTAAAGGATTTCATTCATCCATACATGCATTATGTAAAATGTGAAAACTGATTTTAGCCCCATCCTTACCCCAGGTACCATAATTTGAAGGGAAAAAAAAAAGAAAGAAAGAAAATAAAGAACTACCTGAAGATGTCTGCAAAATAATATGACTAAGCATGGTCTTTCCCTTCTTCTTCTGATCAGATGATGTAAAAAAAAAAAATCCCACATATTTGCATATAAAAGTTTGATCCTCTAATGCAGACCCCCATCTTTGGATTACAAATGCAATATCTTACATGCAATACGCAATATCAGTATACCTCAAGCTGAGGACATTACCTCATGCTGATAACTCAGGCAGCTTTTTCTTCCACTTTTGATCTTTTCTTTACAAAATCTTGAGCATCTTTATCCCATAAACGAGAGGCTAAAATGTCAAGTGCTCCATTCTCTGTTTAAAAAAGGGGAAAAAAATTGAAAGGAAAATTTAATCCTTATAAACATTTTTGTTCAAATAAAGCCTATTATCAAAAGGCACCATAAAAAAGTTTATCATATTTTCAGAGAGCTTATGTAATCATTTTATTTCAAACCATCTCTCTTTCATGTTTAACTGTGACCTCTTCAAGGTTATAAAAGGTCTTTTATGGTTAAAACTCCTTTTAACATGCAGGTCTTTTTTGAAAAAAAAAAAAAAAAAAAACAACCTTTACCAAGAGCTTGCCCTTATTGTCAAAACTTTGAACCAGAAGTTTTTGACTAGCCTATAGCTCTACTGGCTTGTATGTGAAATAAAGGAAAAAAAGATAGCATCAGGATTTGAAAAAACTTCTTTTACATTCACAGAATTATATACCCTGATGTTTTCTTAACTTGTACCAAGTTTTATTGAAATCAAATCAAAACAGGGGGATGAATAGCATTTTGATTGGTTTTCAAATTTTTCTACTAGCTATTACAATAATGATTAACTGAATTATGAGCCTTGATTTGGACTGATTGAAACTGTACAAATACTGTAGAAGGATGGAATACCCTTTTGAAAGAATTAAACACATTTTTTTTCTATTTTTAGTATTAAATAATGCATTGCAGCATTATTCCTTTGAAACTGAAAACCAATATACAGCTTTGTGGACCTTGGTATAGTCCACCTGTGTTACAAGTTATTTTGTTCCTCTGTCTTTGTGCATTTTTTTGGGGAGTTTGTTAGGGAAGTCTTATTTCTCTTGTATTTGCAGTGTGTGATCTATTACCTTTGTGCTGAGGCTGCATCAGGGGTAAGGCAGTTATGGCAAGAGAATCGAATCCTGAGACATCTTGTCCATCCACGCCTGGAATGTTACACAGGTCGACATATGCCTCTCCTGCGAAGTCGTTCTCAAACACGTAATCATGATCCATCACAGTAAACATCAGCACTGCCCCTCTCTTTCTACACTGCTCTATTGACACATTGCTGTTGGAACAAGGTCAAATCAATGAGGTCAAGGACAATTTGAAGTGCTTCATAAATACCCTTAATATGACAATACAATAATGTTCTCACACAAAGAAGATGGTCAAACAGGCATACAGAGTGCTTACTGATTCAAATGTATAAAAATAAAATTCAGTTTATGAACTAATGTACCGTATATACTCGCCTATAAGTCAGTCCGCCTATAAGTGGGTTGTGATTTTTGAGGTTATTTTGGAGGTATTTGCCATTGACCCGCCTATAAGTCGGTACAACTTTTTGCCAGGATTGGTGGACAATTTCAAATCAATGCTCTAATGTTTTAACGTGTTTCAAATAATATTTTGAGAAATTATGCCGATATTTTATCTCTTTTTTGTCTTCTCTTATAAATTTCATGTCAATACTCTAATGTATTTACCTGTGTTCAAATAATATGTTAGGATATGACATCGGTAATTAATATTTTTATTTTTCAACAAACCAAACCACTACCATTTCAGTTTTCTTTTTTATACTGTTTTGTTTAGACGTTAAATTCCTTGTCTTGTATATTTTATACACTGATCTCGATCATAGGCGGATCTCGGTCTCTTTGGCATGGTGAAGAACTATGCAACGAGGCTAGTAACATTTTGATGATATTTAATTAGGAGGTGCTCAATGTCCAAGCCATATCTATAGTTTTTAATAATGCTATGTTTGATCTTTCATTAGCAATTACCGTCTCTTAATTACCTTTACCCTTACCTGACACCCTATTTATTTAGTGACACGTGCTCCGAGAAAATCGTGTACTACACATGGGAATATTCATTCATAAACAATCGAGTTTTAATAGTCCCAGAATAATATTCTGAATTACTTTTTTAAGAATATTATTTCTGTTGTCAAAAACATTGCAGACAGTACATATAATTATACATTAATGCTGAACGTATTACCGGTATATCGGGTTCGCAATTCAATTTTACCGACAAACGATAAATTTACAGTAAGTCACAAGTTAATTAAAGAAATATTTTTGTTTAAAATTAATCAAATAAATAATATACACTTAAGATAAACTAGAACTGTCCAAAAGGGACAAATACCCCCCGCTGGGTTTTTCAGAGAATGTATCAAATCACTGATGTTTTCTAGATGTGAGAGGTGTTCACAATTTGCTTAAACATTCAGAGTGAAAATTTAATTACTCATTATACATGTATTTTTTTTTAATGAATGACACTAAGGTGCAGCTTAATAAAACATCAATACTAGTAATTACAGTGTTTTTTATTACATTGAAAAAATAGTTTGCAACTATCTTTCATATTTGTGAGACATGACACTCTGCAAATTGATTGTTGAAAAAAAAATATCATAATTAATTATACAAAATCAAATTGATCTTAATACCTTTATATCAAACTCATTTTAAAAATAAAAGGCTGGTTCCGGTAACTATGTATTTTGACAGACATAAATTACAATTAAGAGACTTAGACAACAGAGATTTTTATTTCTTTCTGCCCAGTTCCCAGGAGATATAGATAAGACCTGCTTAATCAGAGATGCCCTAACAGCTTCCCACACTGAACTCATTAATTAATCTTTAACTGGATGCATGTCCACTCATTACTCCCAAGGGACAAATGCATTTACACTATCTGCTGTGTAATGTAAAAACTGTTTTAATACTTTGTGATTTTTTTTTAGTTCTAATGAGTAGTTTTAAGCTGTAGTTCACATTTTGTACAGATCTGTTTTAGCTAGATTCTATGTCTCAAACCTTAGACATGAACCCGAAATGACTAAGTAAATAAAAATGAAAAAAAAGCACCTGTAAAATGCAGAAAAATTATCAAATAATGTTGAAAATACCAGGTGCACATCTTCATATGGTAAATAATAAGTGTACAAATTTTCATACAAATCTATGCAATAGTCTCTGGGAACAGATCCAGACAAAACCACATAATAAAAATGAAAAAAACACCTGTAAAATGCGAAAAAATTATCCAATCATGATGAAAATACCAGGTGCATACCTTCATATGGCAAAGAATAAGTGTACAAATTTTCAGACAAATCCTTGCAACAGTTTCCAAGAAATGGTCCGGACAAAATCTCGTCTACAGACAGACGGACAAGCTGATTCCAATATACCCCCCCCTAAACTTCGTTTGCTGGGGGTATAAAAAAAATATCATTAAAACATGTAAATACTTGTACTTTATATATAATCTTGAATACATAAATAATATAATACATCCAGACATTTCTCAACGATAATCGTCGAAGTTATGTTAAAAAAACTACATTTCGTCGTCTAGAAAAATACCAAACTTTTGATGACTTGCCTATAAGTCGGACATAGAGTTTTGGACCAAAAGTTAACTCCCAAAAAACCGACTTATAGGGGAGTATATACGGTATTTAGAAAAAAGTTTTACTTATTGAAAGGTATGAATTAAGTAATGACAAACAAAACTTTTTCTGCAGAAAAATTCTCTTGGCAAAAATTATTCTATGGGTAAAAAAAAAGAGGATTCCTTGGGAACTGAATCCAAATCATAATAATCCTGAGTATTAGCTTTTTTGTTAGAGACTGCATTGCTAACCTCTATACCACACAGGCACCTGAAGTGTGGATACCCCCCCCCCCCTTCATCAAAAACATAGCAAGAGCCTATAATCGCAAAAATATGAGATTCCCAAATTAATCACATCCATATATCATTCTATGCAAGAAAATGGCTCTTACTATCTTTTTGATGATGGGAGGGGGGGGGGGGGGTGTCTACACAGTGTATAATAGGAAGTGGCATTGATATGACCCTCAAATAACTGGACTTATTCATTTTTCAGAAAAATAAAAAAATTTGGTCATAAATGTGTATATTTAAGGTAGAGTGGGTCCTTGCTCCATTTTTGTTGAGGCAAAAAATTATACTTTTAAACATATTTTGAAGATATACTTTTTAAAAAATGGAGGGAAGACCCACTTATACAGAAAAATCGTTATAGTACGAAGAAATGATTATTTTTGCCCTCTTTGGTGTGCGCAAGATATTTCATAGATGAATAATTTTAACACTTAATTATAAGATTGTTGCAAAGTTTGGAGATCTAACATAAAGTATACATATATGTTATCTGAAATATAAAAAAATGTGTAATAATAAGAGATTTAATTTTTCACTTTTTTGATTGTTGAACCATAGGTATTTTGCTTGGCTTGTTTGTCGATCCTCTTTTAAATTTGCTATAAAAATGAAAACTTGCAAAGTTCAAATTTCTGTTAATAATTTTGATCCTTTTAAAAAGAACGTGCAGGAAGCACTCTATACATGTACCTATGAGCTCTTGACCTTGTCATTTAATCTTACAAAGAACTAGATTATGGACATTTACACAAAAATAGGTCCATAGAGAGAAAAACATGATTTCCAATAAATGTTCAATACGTTTAATCATGTCCTTTTTCTGTTTATGAATAAATAAAAATGAAATGAACATTTCTCATCCTATTCTCTGAAATGACATTGACAGATTGTTTGCCAGTAACTGATGGGAAGCACTTCTTAATACGTTCTATTTCCACTATGGAAGAGTCATACTTCTTAGTGCACTCTTTTGTGAAGAAGTCGGAAAACGTACAAATCTCGCGGGATTTCTGGGACAAACGTAACATAAACATGTAAACAATATGTTGAATGTCGATGAACACTAGAACAGTTCCTAAGAAAATGCAAATGAAATATTTTATTGTTGTGGATTTTATATACATCAAGAGCAGGAATGACAACGATATCAATTTATATCTATTGTTGATCGTATGTATCTATTTATCGTATGGTACATCTAAATACAATATACATGCCTCGGAAATGTCATATTTTTCATTAATGGATGATAAATTTAGGGTTCTCGCTCTCTTACATATGTCTTTTAGTTCTTCTATTCTTTAATGGGAATGACAAATACATTTGACATTTAAAATTGGATTGAGATTGGCATGTTTTGTATTATCCGCCACGCAATGCTGTCCCAGTCAGACGACCAAACGCGCCTCTAATTTTGAAGAGTTCCCTAATGGAAATATAACGTATTATCACAGAAAATTTTACCCTTTCTCTACCTTTCTACTCACAATTCAAATGATTCATCAAACACCGGGTTGAGTGTTTTCTTCTTAATGCTGGTCTTTTGCACTGGGACATCATGGAAAATATGCTCTGGACAAAACTGTATCAAAACATAGGGATCGCTGAATCCTGTAAAACACCAAAATTAAACTTCTGAATTCTTTACTTTCAACAAAACTAAACTTTATGGCTTCCTACATAGGAAATTTAGACTTTTTTTTTTAATTGCTAAACTTATTTTGCTCTGTATATTTTCCTGAAGGAGGGGGGATTCACAAACTAACAATTTGAAAAAAATCTGGTTGAGGAGGAGTAATCCTTGATGCTCAAAATTATGTCATTATCAGTATGACAATGACACGACAAAACATCCTCATGAAGAAAAGTAGTTGGTTAAGTGTCTCTCAAGTCTTTTTATATACAGCTGTGTTCAAGAGATATAAACATTATTGCATCACTTTTGTGATAAGTTTGTTTTACCATGAAAAACAATTGCAAAGTTTTATGCCCCAGTAATCAAAAATTTGGGGGGCATATAATTTTAGGTCTGTCTGTCTGCAATAACTTTATCCTTGCCCATAACTGTTAATAGGTTGACATTAGATCTTTAATATTTCACATGTCTATTCCTTGTGGCAAGACCTTTCTTTGGGTACCAACATGTTTGACCTCTTGACCTTGGATTTTGACCCACTTTTTAACGAACTTTAACCTTGTCCATAATTTTTGTACTTTTTTGACCTCTTGACATTGACTTGGGAGTTTAACTACTTTTAAAAAAACTTTAACCTAGGCCATAACTTTCAAATGATTGGTGCTAGGACTTTCATATTTCACATGTGTATTCCTTGTGACAAGACCTTTCCTTGGCTTCCAACATTTGTGACCTTCTATCCTTGAAGTCTGGCAAACTTTCAAAAAATTTTAACCTTGGTCATAACTTAAAAACAACTGGTGCTTGGGCTTTCATATTTCACCTGTGTATTTCTTAAACAATACCTTTTTTGTGTACTAAAATTTTTTACTTTACATTGGAGTTTGACCTATTTCTGTTAAATTTCAACCTAAGCCACAACTTTTGAAAGGTTGGTGCTAAGGTTTTCATATTTCACACATGCATTTCTTGTGACAAGACCTTCCCTTGAGAAGAAGTATTTTTGACCTTTGAGTTTGACCTACTTTTGAAAAATTGAACCCTTACCATAACTTTTGAATGGCTTTTAATTGGCTTTCATATTTCAAATGTGTAAGCCTTGTGACAAGACCTTCCCTTGGGTACCAACATTTTTAATTTTTTGACCTTGACCTTGGAGTTTGACCTACTTTTGAAAACTTTAACCTTAGTCATAAATTTTTAAAAGGTTGGTTCTAGGTCTTTCATGTTTCACATAATACTAATATTTTTGACATCGTGACCTTAGGCTTAAAAAATGACCCACTCTTGAAAAACTTTAACCTTGACCATAATTTCTAAATGGTTTGTGCAAGGGCTTTCATATGCCACATGTACATTACTTGAGACAGGACTTTCCCTTAGGTACCAACATTTTTGACCTCTTGACCTTTGAGTTTGACTTGCATTTGAGAACTTTAACCTTAGCCATGAACCATCATATTGGGGCATCAGTGTTTCAAAACACATCTTTTTTCACTTAGGAATTATTTATTATGTCATTAAAAAAGAGCTGTCACAGGAAAACAACTTGAAAGCTTACTAAGCCATAGTTTTTTTTCAGCATGAAGCATTACTATTACTAAACGTCAATCTGGTAAGCAATTGCACTCAAATTTCAAAAGATTTTCTGGTGGAACATAGTTTACCTATTTAATATAAAACCCTTGTTTCACACTCATCAGAATTTTTTGGATTTGATAAATTTGACCTGATGTCCACAGATTCTGCAAAGGTATTGAAATAGTTCTCCAAACATTTGTTCTGGGGAGTTAAAAAATTTAGTCAGCCTTCTGATAAAAGATTTTTTTTTCTCTAATATGTAAAGAATGAAAATTGAATTTCCACTTGTTTATGATAACTTACCATTTGCATCCAGTGGAATGATAGCCTTTGCATTTAGTACTACAGTCCCTGAAACGTTCTACTTTCCCACTTGAACGGTGAGCGAACGCTGAACGAACGGTGAACGAACGCTGAACGAACGCAGAGCGAACGGTGAGTGAACGATGTGTGAACGCTGAACGCAACTTGGTGAACGATGTGTGAACGGTGAACGGTGAGCGAACGCAGAACGCGAACGGAGCGCAAACGCGAGCGCAAAGTGAACGGTGAACGAACGGTGAACGCAAGATGAACGATTTATTCGGAATGCCTCTGATCTTTTCCTTGCATTGAAACTATTCTATTGTGTTCTAATGCTTGGTGCTAAAAAAAATAAATAAATAATAAATAAATAAACAAATCAATGAAAATTGTCCCAAGAAAGACGATACATGCACATTAAGTAAAATTATTAATTTAAGTTTCTTGCAATATTTTCTGCACGTATGTACGGTGTTTAAATTCAACGTTTTATTAACACGATTTTTATCGCTGTAAAACATTGTAATTGTTAACGAACGCTGTAGTATAACAGATGAAATTAATCTAGTTGTAAAATAAATATGTTTATTTTTATTTGATATATAAAACCATTGCAAATAATGTAGATTTTAGAAGAGAAAACTACGGACTTATAGAATGAATTACAACAGCTTTAACAACCATACAAGGGATTCCGTGTAAAATAATGAGAGAAAAAAATTACAAAGGTATGTGGACCTATTGCATAAATACACTCGTATTTTAAAATCTTAATGCAATAATATATTTATGTGTCAGTTTTATTTTTTTATGATGATTTATTGAGCGGACTTCTACATGTATCTGTAGACATTTCCCGGCCGTGATTATACTCGGACAAGATGATACAAAGAGGCAATCATATTATTTGTTATATATTAAATTTTCACAACTTGATATTTAAGTAATATGTTGGCATAGTTTTTATTAAACAGACAAATGAGAGAGAGAGAGAGAGAGAGAGAGAGAGAGAGAGAGAGAGATTCGGTTTTAGCCCCCCCCCTCTTAAAATGTTTGCACCTATATCAAACAAAAATTCTAATTCTTTTCTAAATATATCAGGCAGTGAAAGTATCCATTTTTTTTTATCAACAAATCCATTTGTTTTACAGTCATAATCGGTTTTTATTTTCCTGCTGCAAGTTCACACGAAGTCCACGTGCTTGACCTGTCAATCAAAATCATTCGACACTGTGCAGGTGTGAAAGTCTCGTCACACCGAAGGCAAAGTGTTAGTATTTCCAACAAGTTTTAACATTTTTTCTTATCATTTCTAGATCTGATTCCAACATTTCTAAAAAATAAATAAATAAATAAATAAATAAATAAATAAATAAATAAAATACATTGGGAAGAAACACTTGGAATGATTAAGCCGCTTGAATTTGAAACATACTCCCTGCCAATTTAAAATACATGTATCACCGCCGGCACATGTATATTTTGAACTACTATTATTTAATGAATTTGTTTAGATGCATGTTTGTTTTGAGACTGAAATTTTTGTGCTACAAAACACATTAACTTCTTTTTAAATGTTAACTAAAATGTACTGGAAATACTAACTAAGTAACCGATTTAGGGGAAAAGGGGGGGGGGGGGCTCTTAATAATATCGAATGACAAACATAAAGTTACGGTGAAAAATATCATTACCGGAGAATCACCTTGGTTATATAAATGATAATCATGTTATAAAGGCATTTCTCTCTCTCTAATTAAAGACTTTATATCTGTAAAGTAGAAAAAAAATTCTTTAATGTATTACATTTTAAACAAATATTTTTTTTAACCACACTATCAATTTAATTCGCTCTAAAGATATTTAATTAACTGGATATCCGCAGTACTGTTATCATTCTCAGAACAAGTTCTAACATGTATTTCTGTATTATTCGAAAAAAATGTGATAGAAATAAATATTTTCGTATTCTTGTTGCAGGTGGTAAATTAATTGACTTCGATTACTATCTATCCATTTACGATTTGTCGTCTTTAACATAAAAGCAAAATGTTGCAGTACTTGAAGTATCAGTATTTTGACCGTATTTAGATTTAATTTTTCAGCATCGTTCTACATCGGTACATACATGTACATGTACTTATAACAACATTGATTTTCTACATAAATTTTATAAATAACCTAACAGATAAGTTACAATAATAAAAATAAATATTGTAGATAATTTTTTTCCCATGAAATAATGATTCTTTAAACGCTGTATGTTATTTATTAAATTCAAAACCTGTAAATCCTTACTTAAAAAAAGATAAGTCCTTTCACTTCGGAGTTCCGAATGACACTGAAGACTGAACGATAAGTGAACGCTGAACGCAAGGTGAACGCAAAGTGAGCGAACGAAGAGCGAACGGTGAACGCTTTGTGAACGGTGAACGCGAGCGCACGGTGAACGCTGAACGCAAAACTGTGAACGGAGAGCGAACGGTGAACGCACGGTGAACGAACGGTGAACGCACGCTGAACGAACGGTGAACGAACGGTGAGCGAACGGAAAAATGGGAAAGTAGAACGTTTCAGGGACTGTATAAGGAAAGTTAGACACAGATTAGTCAATTTCCAGCGACACAAATGGAGCTCAGAGTCGTCGTTTACAGAAATGTCCTTGAATAGATTACATCTCTATGATAAGTGCTAAAATGCAATTTATTCCTGTAATTCTAGATCCAAGTTAAGGAATAATAAGAAATGTTACCATCTGTACCTACTTTCAACAAACATGGTCTCTGTCTCATTTCTGTAGCACATTCTAACATTTAATACTCCATACTCTTTTGATTTGAACTCAGCCTATCAAAAGACAAACACATTTTAGATTACAGGTAAACTGGTTCATGGCTATAAATACATGGATGTCTGTAAAACATAAATCAATTATATTACATAATACAACACTTTATTTCTGCAAAAACAATAGCATTTTATAAATTTGTGAAATTTAAGTTCTGTATATCCTCCATACGATCAGAAAAGAGTTACTTCCTGTTATTATTTATAAAACCGAGATCTTTACATGAAAACAATCTCGGTAAATTATATGGGAATAAAGTTTTTATGAACTAAACATGTCCATCATTGGAAGCCCACAGTTGATTATGCTTTGACCATGAGTCCATTCAGACCAATGTGCTTAGTTATCATGAATAATGTGTAAATTTACTGTCCAATCAAATTAATCATAATAGGGGATGGAACTCTTGTTCTTAAAGGTTGCATTACTTAAAACTTGCAATCACAACAATATATGGCTGAGCCCAGTAAAAATTGTGTTTGCTTTGTGAAAAAAAACCCAAAAGGCCCAAGGGCCTTAACGGTCACCTGAGTACAATACAACAATTTAGAGGATCCATAAACTGATAAATGAAGCTTTGTTGCCCAAAAGCAAGAGAAATAGTATGATTAGCATCAACAAAATAATTGGTCTAGTATCTATCTGTCCCCCATTTATCACTATTACCATGCAGACTATTAACAAAATGTCTATTTTTTTAACCCCACATTATACCTTCTCACATTGGCCTCTCTTGGCCTTTGAAGAACATTTAAAAAGATAAGTTATCTTTGTCTCATTTTTATTCATCTATTATTTCCAAGTCTACCTGATCATTAAAACTATGAAAATACTTTTTGTATTATGCAATAAATGTTCTTGCATAATTCTCTTATTCTATTAACTTTTCAAATACATTATTTACAGTGATTAATTATCAAAGGTGAATGGCAAAGGGGAATAACTTTGCTCAGCAGAATACAAATTAATAGAGGCCTGGCCAGGACCAGAACACTTGACTAAATGGTCCAGGTGTTCAAAATTCTGCTAAAAATACCCTTGCATATTAAAACTTTTACTCTGTTTGCCTCGAATATGCCCATAAGCATAGAAGATTTTCAAAGAAATGCATTTTCACGATATTTTTAATAAATAAAGCCCCACCCTTACGCAAGAACATCTGACCCTGGGGCCATGAACTCACAATTCTGGAAGAAGCACCCTTGTTCATCATAATTATACACTTTTTCCTTGCTTTATAACCAGTAGTAGAAAAAAGTATTTTGAAAGAAATTATGCATTTTCACTATATAATCAATAGAGCCCCCCCCCCCCCTTCACCAGAACCCCTGGCCCTGGGGCCATGAAATTCACAATTTTGGAAGAGGCATTCTTCCTTATCATAATCATGCACTTCCTTTGTTTGAACAATACCCTGGAGAAGAGAAGAGGATTTTGAAAGAATTTATGCATTTTCCCTATATAATCAATAGAGCCCCACCCTACCACCAGAACCCCTGACCCAGGGGCCATGAAATTCGCAGAAGGCAGCCATGCTCATTATAACTATGTACTTAGTTTATTTAATATCCAGGACAGAGAACAAGATTTTCAAAGAAATAATGCAATTTCACTATATATATCAATAGAGCCCAACCTTAACACCAGAACCCCTGACCCAAGGGCCATGAAATTCACAATTTTGGAAGAGGCAACCATGCTCCTCATAATTATGCATTAAGTTAGTTTATTTAATAACCATGCAGGAGCAGAGAAGAAGATTTTCAAAGAATTAATGCAATTTTACTATACAATCAATAGAGCCCTGCCCTAACACCTGAACCCCTGACCCAGGGGCCATGAAATGCACAATTTCTGAAAAGGCAAACATGCTCACCTTAACTATGTTCTTAGTTTATTTAATACCCAGAAGCAGATAAGATTTTCAATGAATTAATGAATTTTCACTAGTATATAATCAATAGAGCCCCACCCTAACACCAGAACCCCTGGCCCCAGGGCCATGAAATTCACAATTTTGGAAGAAACCACTCTTGCTCATCATTACTATGTACTAATTTTGTTTATTTAATACCAAAGAGCGGAGAAGAAGATTTTCAAAGAATTAATGCACTTTCACTTTATGATCAATCTAGCCCCACTCTAGCACCAGAACCCCTGACCCTGGGGCCATGAATTTCACAATTTTGTAGAGGGCTAAATGCTTACTACAATCATGCCAACAGTTTGACTGCTTGAAGTCCAGGAGTAAAGAAGAAGATTTTTAAAGATTGCATTAATTTTGGTGGTTTTAGCCCCACCCCTTAGGCCCCAGAAGGGCAGGGACCATGAAATTCAAAATTTTTGTTCCCCTTCACCCATAGATGCTATATGCCAAATTTGGTTGAAATTGATTAAGCGGTTTCAGAGAAGAAGCTAAAAATGTTCAAATGTAAAAAACACACGACACACGACGATGGATGAAAACAGATAGCAATAGGTCATCTGAGTGACTCAGGTGACCTAAAAAACCCAAACATATCTGGTCGGTCATACAGGTCCCTGTGGTCAAACATCAGTCAGGAACAATATAGGAATGGGTTTGTTATATAAACCTATTTGCTCTATTACCCTTAGACCTTTCCATCCTTTACCCCTTAATGATGACTTTTGACGCCTAGCCCCAAACCTTAATGACGACTTTTGATGCACGTGTATTTCATTGTTGATTTGACTTGAAATTACCGATTGTTTACAACTACCAGAGCACAGGTGGCCAATAGATGATTGCATCATACTACAGTTAGAAATCAGGCGATTTACCTGTGTAAACAAATAAAAGAATCTTGGAAGTCCCACCAAAATTCAAATTGGCGGACTGTTACATACAATGTTTTCATGAGCATAAAACTCCGTCAATACGCAATATCTTCTCATCCAGTAAAGCATTACATGGAATTCAAGCTATAAACTACCTATTTCTTGAAAGTTTTAAAATCTATAATGATCTATATGTATAATGTACTCTAAAATAAAATACGAAAATGTTATGAAGTTCGGTACCGCGCAGTGCCGATTTCGTTACCTGATTCACAGAAATTCAGAAGATGCCTTCCATTTTACACATATTTATAAATGTAAAGTATAGAAAATAATTATTTTAATAGAATTTGATCATTCAAGTAAACAAAAACGTTCAGAAATCATGTTTTATCATGCAACTCTGAAAATTAGTCAGCAAGATTGACATTGAAGTAGCACTACAATTTATTGATTTCTGAGGAGTTAAACTTATAAAAT